ATCAGAGGGGATCTTTTCCTTCTATATGACCCCCTTACGTCAGGTCAAGTTGACCGTTTCTTCACACACTGTAGCTTGGAACACTTATGGAGAAACCCAAGAAAACTCTTTAAACACCGGCCCAGAACCTTCATCCGCTCCAACTCCTTCGCGTACAGGGTCATCTCTGAATGGAACCAACTTCCACTGGAGATTGTGAACTTCTCCTCCAAAAGGGTTTTCAAACCCTGTCAGACGCACACCTAGGGCTTACCATCCCCCGATCTAATTGGCCTCCATCTGCTACAGGAAGTCCCCACATTATCCCGCTTATCCTTGTTACTACTCCTTTCACATCGTCGCTCTCCTCTAGATCTTTTTTCCCGATGCATGCACTCTTAACCCAGCGGCACCATATTGGAACCAGCTCCCATTCCCGTCAACATCCCTTTCAGCCTGTGAACCGAACTGCATAAAAGAAGACAAATCCGGAACCGGGAATATTAGGCGAAGCCTGGAACTCGAGTATTACTTCAAGACTTGGCTTCTCTGCAAATGTAGGTTATGTCCCCGCGTGCCTCTATGCGGAAAAGATTTAAATCTCTGATGCGCTGTTCATAGCTTCTCGCCTGTTGCTCACCCAATATTCTCGTTGCTAGACGTTCAACTCGCTTTAAGGTATTGACGTCCTTTCGAAAGAACGGAGCCCAAGCCTGCACACAATATTCCACATTTCGTAAATTTCACCTTCCATTCACCTAACATCATCCGCCTCACACATACATAGACAAATGTTGTTCCACCTTCATTGCATATTTAAACATTGATCACACTCTCTGACTTTCTTTTACTGCTTCATTCGTAACCTATTTGTTTTAAGGGCCACCTGACTGCCCACGTTGGACTCGTTTGTGTGCAGCGTGACGATGAGTGTGTCATCCTTATCCAGATACACTTTCTTCCTTTCACATTTATTGAAATACGCTCACAGCAACATTTGGCTCTTGCTATCAAGTTGTTTTGAGATAATTTTGAGGCTCGAACAGATTTTACTCGCTTGCTTGATCGTTTATTGATGCATTACCGTAGAAACGTGCTGGATCGTTCGTTTTATTGACGTTTTGTGATCTGAATTCGGCTATGCTTTGCTCGTTGATCTGTTCGGAAGGCACAGTACTCAAATTTGTGCAACTTGTAACAAGAGAATGTCTTTCAAACAAGGGAGAATCGCGGAGGAAGAACAGGAAGTAACCCGGCAAGTCACTGGGGCATTTGGGGCTTTCTGTTTCTCACATTTGTAACTCCGTTTATCCTGTTCGTGCTAGGAGCTTATGTTCAAATCAGGTCAGGTTTCTAGGACGAAAACAGGCTTTCGCCTAACGTGCGTCCAGATTCATACACCAGTAGAATTTGGGACTTCCTCTGGTGCTACGAGGTAAATATTGTTTTCGTGAGTTGTCATGACTCGTAAACATTCTCTAGATTCGGACAGCTACCCCAGCGAGCAACAATACCAGGGTGATACTGTTCAGAGTTAAGTCAAAAAGTTTTACAGAGGGAGGAAAGGTAAGAATATGAAACTAAGAGTACCATTGTGGAGTCGCACTTTCGCACTCATATTAGAGACCGGCAGTTGTNGGCAGTTGTAGCAAATTCAGCACTGGCCAGTAAAGGGAGCATCGTGTCACTTTCTATGTGCGATGTTTGTTTCTTGTATGCCTTCGTGTGCTGCAATAGTGAGTGGTTTGCCTAGATATGTTCGGGTACATGCTGTATGGTATCCGATGTATGAGAGCGTGGTGGGCTTTTCGTGCAGTAGACTTTTTATCATTTTTTATAATCATAATCTCTTTGTTTTTTCTG